TGCAGAGTTTGAGAAAATGTCTTCAGAAAGGACAGGAAGTGTAGTAGGGAGTGAGGTGATGCCTCTGGACTATGGGGGTATGGACTCAGAAAGTAGTCCATCTCCGTCTTGTTCGGAGAAAACTGTGGAGGGGGTGAGAGGAGATGAGATGGTGGAAGTTGGGGGAAGAGAGGTGGTAGAGGTGGGGAGGAATGAGGGAGGAAGGGTTGAGGTAGATAGCATACCCTTCACTGTAGTAGAAGTAGAAGGTAATGGGGAGAGAGGTTATGATAGGAATGCAGACATAGTGGAGGAAGTGAAGCAGTACCGATCTTAACTAAGGACCAGGGATGACCTGTGTCACTTAGTAGAAACGTACGAGATCTCTTCTCGGGTATTAGTTAGGCCAGCTGGGGTAGAGGAGAGGGCGTGCTCTGCTCCTCGGGATCACTGGATGCCTGTGTATTCCCACTATTTGATAGCGGGACTCAGGTTTCCACTTCCTGAGTTGCTAATAGGCTTACTGTTAGATTACAACATAGGGTTGACACAGTTGGTTCCCAACGCAATGAGGGTAATAATAGGTTTTTTAGTTTATTGCCGAGCTCAGGGAATTAGCGTGCCAACTGTAAATATGTTTAAGTATTTTTTTGTTTTAAAGGGGGGTAGCAGGAGAGATAAGGGGTGGTATTATTTCACCTCGAGGGTAGCTAATAAGGAGGGTAGAATTTTATTCATGGCGAGGCCTTCATCCATTAAGGGATGGAAGGAAAAATTCTTTTTTGTGGATGACACGGAATGGGGGAAAGGGGATGCCGAGGTGAGGGCGTTAGCCTCCTGGAAGGCCAAAAGGGCCAACCAGAATAAGTTTAGTTTAAATGAGGATGAGGAGGAAGAAGTGGGGAGGTTGGTGAGGAAGAGGGGGGATGTGTTGAATATCATGGACCTCACCAGCGCAGCATGCATAGAGGCTGCTGAGCTCTATGGGCCAAGCGCTCTGAGTGAAGGTTTGTTTGACATATACTGTAGCGTTAAATGTAGAACATAGAATTGTGACTAATATTGTGTTTTTTGCTTTGCAGCTAACATGAATCAATTTTTGAATACTGCTGGAGGGAAGGCCATCCCCAAGAAGCCAAGGAAGAAGTCAAGGACTTCAACCAAGCAAGTGGATGAGGGGAGAACTGGGAAGGAGGTAGTGCCTCTGGCTTCAGCTGAGACGGAGGACGAGGTGCCACCGTTGAAGAGGAAGGGTTGGGAGGAAATGAGGGCAGCAGAGAAGAAATAGAAGGTGGTGGAGGAGGGAAGGGAGGATGAGGTTCCCGAGTTCGTACCTTAGCCTCCTCCTGTTGAGCTGAACCCTGAGCTCAGACAGTTGGAGGAGGGGGCTGAGGTATGAGCTCCCGGAAAGGGAAAGGGCCCTATTCCCCCACTAGGGCCTCAGAGCAGCCTGTTCGAGGCAAAGAACATAACGGGGGCGAGGTGGTTCATCAACAACACCTTCCCCGAAGTGGACCAGAGCAAGGCGCGGGAGGAGGCTCTGAGGTATGGTGGATTGTGAAGAACAATGCAATGCATTAGGCATGGTTAGGAAACCTTTTTCACCCTATTTAGAAACATACAATCCTAGTTGGAGGAACCATCTCAAATTTAGTTGGAAGACTAATCAGAACCATCCCACATCATCCAACAATACTTGGAATAGTGAAGTTCAACCATTTAGGTCTTACCCTACACCTCAATACAATGCATGACTAGAAAGAAATCCTTTAAAGAAAACACTTAAGGCATTTATAGAGGCACAAAATAAGACTAACCAAAAGTTTGATTTTATTCTTACATAAGTGGTTGAAGAAAACAAGGATATCAAGAGTCAACTAAGTTGACCAATGCCCTTATTGTCCAAGAGCAAGGTAAGATTCCATCTCAACCATAAACTAATCCTAAAAATTTACATTTGGTGCAGGAATCTACCTCTAATTCGAAGAACATTCAAAGGGGTCAACGCTATCAACACTAGTACTAGTAAAGTTATAGAGCCATTGTAGAAATCACCTTAACTAAATGATGCTACTCCAAGTAGCCATAAAGATGACCTATTGAAAGAACCTAAGAAGGAGGTTCTAATTCAAGTTCTTTTCCCTCAAGCTCTTAGAACTGGAAAGATTTCGAACAATCAAGGTGAGATTTTAGAACATTTGAAATAAGTTAAGATTAATCTACCTTTGTTTCATGTGATTAAACAAGTACCAACTTATGCCAAGGTAATCAAGGATCTATTTACCATGAAAAGGAAACACCATGTCAAGAAGGCTGCATTCTTGACAGAACAGGTAAGTGCGGTGATTGAGCAGAAAACACCACCAAAGTACAAAGATCTAGGGTGTCCAACAATTGCTTGCCAAATTGGGTCACAAGAGTTTGTTCAAGCTTTTTTGGATTTAGGAGCAAGTGTGAATTTAATACCTTAATTAGTTTATTTGCAGCTAGGTCTTGGAGAGATAAAACCCACATCTGTGGTGTTATAATTGGTTGATCGTTCTTGTAGAAAACCAAGAGGGATAGTAGAAGATGTTTTGCTTCAAAATGATAAATTTTATTATTATGTTGATTTTCTTGTTTTAGATACTCAATTTGAAGTTAACAATAAGTAAAAAATTCCACTTATTTTAGGAAGACTATTTCTTGCTATTGCTAATGCTCTCATTAATTGTAGGAATGGTTTGATGAAACTTTCATTTGGGAATATGACTCTTGAGGTGAATATTTTTTATGTTGGGAAGCAACCACAAGAAGATGATGAATGTTATCATTCCTACATGATATATTCACTTGTTGAGGAAGTACAAGAAAGGAAAATTTCTAAATCTCTAGAACACTTCCTCTATGATTTTGATTTAAACTCTGAATTTCTGCTTTATCCTATTAATGATATTTCTAATGTTTCTTTTATTTTAATGCTGATCAAGATAAACAAAAGAAGTTTTGGCAACCATGCTTTGAGGAGTTACCACGTGAAAGGGAACAACCAAAGCCATCTTCACTAGAGACACCAAAAGTAGAGTTATCCCCACTCTCTGAAGGGTTGAAACATGCATTCTTAGGTCTAGGTGATACCTTTCTTGTTATAATATCTTCTAAACTTAGTGTTGAGTAAGAAGAGAAATTGGTACATATATTAAAAGAACATAAATCTGCACTAGGTTGGACTATAGCTGACATTAAATGTATAAGCCCATTGATTTGTTCTCATAGGATTCATTTAGAAGAAGGATCTATTCCACGTAGAGACCCTCAAAGAAAATTGAACCCAACAATGAAAGTAGTTGTTAAAAAGGAGGTCTTGAAATTGTTAGATGCAAGAATCATATATCCTATATGTGATAGTAAATGGGTTAGTCCTACTCAAGTAGTGCCAAAGAAATTAGGGATAACAATAATTGAAAATGATGAGGGAGTTCTTGTACCAACTAAGGTAGTAACTGGGTGGCGCATGTGCATTGATTATAGGAAATTAAATGCAGCCACTAGGAAGGACCATTTTCCATTACCATCTATTAACCAAATTTTAGAACATGTAGCTGGCCATCCTTTCTATTGCTTTCTTGATGGTTATTTAGGATATTATCATATTGAGATAGCTTTAGAAGATCAAGAAAAAACTACTTTTACATGTCCTTTTGAATTGATCTCTAAATTACCTACACCCCAAATGGTAAAAAATGTTTGGTCTTTTCTTGGACATGCTGGTTTCTATAGGAGGTTCATTCAAAATTTTTCAGTCATAGCTCAACCTTTGTGTAACCTTTTAGCCAAAGATGCTAAGTTCAATTGGACTCTTAAATCTAAAAAAGCTTTTCGAACCCTTGTCACCAAATTAACCATTACACTGATCATACAATCACAAGATTGGAGTCTTCCATTTGAGATTATGTGTGATGCTAGTAACCATGCTATAAGAGAAGTTTTAAGCCAAAGAAGAGAAGGGAAGCCCTTTGTTGTATATCATGTTAGTAGAACTCTTAATAGTACTCTAAAGAATTATACTACAACTGAAAAAAAAAGTTACTAGCTGTTGTTTTTACTTTAGATAAATTTCATTCTTATCTCATTGGTTCACCTATTACTGTGTTCACTGACCATGCAACTCTTAAGTATCTTTTGTCTAAGAAGGATGCTAAAGCTTGTTTGATTAGGTGGATTTTGCTTTTGTAGGAATTTGATCTCACAATTAAAGACAAGAAAGGTATTGAAAATGTGGTGGCTGATCATTTGTCTTAATTGGAGTTTAAGGACTCCAATATTGAAAGTTTACCAGTTAAAGATGATTTCCCTGATGAACACTTGTTTGCTATTAGCCAAGTTCCTTGGTATTCTCACATTGTTAATTACTTGGTTTCTAGTGAAATTCCATCGAATTGAGGTGCACAAGATAAGCGTAAGTTCTTGGTTGAGGTAAGAAATTTTTATTGGGATGATCCTTATTTGTTTAAGTAATGCCCTGACCAGATCATAAGATGGTGTATTCTGAAATATGAGATTAATAGTGTCCTTAACTTTTGTCACTTTGAAGCTTGTGGTTGTCATTTTTCTATGAAGAAAATTGCTACAAAAATTTTGCAACGTGGATTCTATTGGCCTACTTTGTTTAAAGATACTAATGCTTTTTGATGAGTTAAATTTATATACATATTAATAGAGAATTTTTCCCTTGATATTATTGATATTTGGATGAGTTTTATGGTATTTTATGAGATATTACATGGTTCTCATTCTTTATGCAGAAAAGGGTTTAATGCATAAAAATAGGAAGTTTTGGGATTAATTGAACATCTTGTGAAAGTTGAGGGATTGAACTGCAAGAAGAAGGGGCCTCTTTGGGACCTTAATAAATGAATCTTGAGTTTTGGGATCTAAGTGCTCATTGTACAAAATATGGAGGACCAGATCTGGTATTTTACCATTGAAGAAATTGCAAAAAGAGATTAGAAAGTCGACAGGGTGTAGTGTCGACACATAATCGGGATGTCAACACCATGTGTTAACCGCCGAGAATCAGACTTCCTGTTTTCTATTTTGTGTCGACACGTAATTTGGGGTATCAGCACCATGTCGTCAGCATCCAAAATTCAGGTTTCCTATTCTGTTCCAAGTCTTACTTTTATTCCAACTAGGGCTTCTAAAATCCTATAAATACCCATCCAAATTCAGAATTAAGGGAGCTTTGTGGAGGCTGATGGCAATCCTCTTTTGGGCATTCTTGAAGATCAAGAGAGATAATTCAACAATAGGAGATCAAGGATTGCAATTTTCTCAAATTGAATTTTATTCTTCCTTGTTATTTTTATGTTCATAACTATGATTTTAGATTTTATTATTTTTATTATGAACTGATTTATTCTACTAGAGTTACGATATAACCTAATCAATTCAATATAAATTTTGTGATTTTATGCTTTCAATTAAAGTTATTTGCATAAGGAGTTTATATTATTGAACTTAATGCATTGGAAGCCTGATCACTTTTCGATTGATTTAGTGATTTATGCATGAACTTAAGAAAGAATTGTGTAAATTAGACCAATAATAATATAAATCACGTGTTAGACTATGAGACCGAGAGGTTCACGTGTTAGACTATGAGACCGAGAGGTTCACGTGTTAGACTATGAGACCGAGAGGTAATTGGCTCACATGTGATAATGGAGGAAGAGAAGAGGGTTAGGAGCTCCCCTTTCTTAAGCTAGTGGTTTCCATAGAATTTAATACTCATTAGTTTGTTTAAAATTACATAAAGATATGATTAATTTAATAAACAGGTGAATGATTAACTTGACATGAAAAAGCTAGTTAATTAATTTAGGGAAATCCGCCATCACATGCAATAATACTCAACAAATTAGCATATTAATCCAAAATTTATATTGATTGATTATGATGAAATCAATGCCTTAGTACCTCATATCTTGGTTATGTTTAATTTAATTGTTATTTTCCTTTTATTATTTTTTAGTTAAACTTTCTTCCTTTTCGATAGTTCAAATAAATTTAGATTAATTATTTTGGTACTTAATTAGATATGATCCTCGTGGGTTTAACACTCTCTCATCATTATATTACTTGGAGCAACTAATTCACTTGCTAGGGTGATTTTAGTGCATCACTTTTTGTCATTCCTATGATAGGTGCCAAAAGTTAGGTGCATTAACTCATTGTCACATGATGCCTCTTAACCCAATTCTAGTCATTGAGATTTTTGATTGTTGGGGTATTGATTTCATGGGACCATTTCCATCTTCTTTTGGTTACCTTTATATTATTCTTGCAGTTGATTATGCATCTAAATGAGCTGAAGCTATACCTTGTAGTACCAATGATAACAAAGTAGTTGTTAAGTTCTTGAAAGAAAATATGTTATCTAGGTATGGTACACCACGTGTGATTATTAGTGATCAAGGGACACATTTTTGTAATTGTTCTTTTGAAGCCTTGATGTGCAGGTATGGCGTTATTCACAAAGTGTCAACTACTTACCATCCACAGACTATAAATTTTGCCTTTTCCTTTGAGTGACTTGCTGCTTTCCAACTCCATGAGAAAAATCCTTTGCCTCAAATAGTTATTAATCCGTGAGGATATGGAGTTGAGGCTTTTACTTTGATTAATTCTCAAAGCTATATATGTTGTGGTTTGAGATATGAAGGTTATGCTTAGTTCACACACACACTTTTGGAAGTTATAATTGAAGTAATCTTGATAGCAACTGTAATCTTTTCTAAATACCTAGGTAGTCTTCTAGATAACTATTTGAGCTAATCAACATGCTTTCTTTCTTAATTCTCGCTTGAATTGCTAGAGACTAGCAATAAGCTGGTTGGGGGTTGTGATGAAAGCATGAAAATATATATTTAAAGTGTGCTTAACCATTGACATTTGTGAAATTATGAGCTTAAGAGTTGTATTTTTCTACAAGTAATTTCATAATTGTTCATTCTATTCATGTTATGCAAATTTTTGATAATTGAAGGTTTGATTATTAGATGGAGAGAATTAGATTAAAAGGACTTAAATGCAAAGAGCTAGAAAGATGAGGATCCAAGGATTAAATTTGAAAGTTTGGAGGCTCAAGTGATATTTCTCCATTTTTGATTAAGAGCAAAATTCTTGAAGTTGTCTTTGACTAGCGCAAAAGGAAAAACATAAATATTAGGGGTTTTGCACCTTGTATCAGGTTCCAACCACTTATCAGTGTGGCATAAAAACATAATTATGCAAGGTTCCGCATAGGGATGGCAATTTGCCCCGATCCCCGCGGGGCCCCGCGGGGATCCCTACTATGGGGACGGGGTGGGGAGGAATATTTCTCATCATGGGACGGGGACGGGGAGTATTTTCTCCCTGTGAAAATTCGCAAGGAATTTTTCCCGCTTCGTGGGGCCCCGTGGGGATCCCCATCCCCGTGAAAAATTAAAAAAATATATAAATTAGTTTTATTTTAAATTTAATTCAACCTTCAAATCTAAATCCAATTCAATAAAATTTATATTTAATCCAATTTTATCCAACCTATTATTAACCTTGTAGTTATTTATGTTAGATTGATCTTTATTTATG